GAAGTCCCTCGGCCCTTAAAGGGGAAAGGTTGCCTACTCCTGGCTTAACATAATAGGAATCAAAATACAATAAAATAACAACACTAGATGATGAAAAACCTGCCACATGGGGTACAATCCAAAACATCAGCGTACATCTCTAAAGTAACACAGCAAGTATACAATGGACACATAAGTGTCGCAACAGATTCCCAGGATTCCATATCTCTGAGGCATGGCAGTTAAAGTGGTGTCAAACTGGAGTATTTCTGCAGTGTGGACGCATCCTCCTTTGCAATCTCCTGACTGCATTTGGCGGGAGTCCTCCTCCTGAAGCAGGGCTGGCTGGTTTCTCCTCTGCTCCCCTGTTTCAGAAGCAGGGCTGGACAGAGTGAGGAGATCAGGAGTCTTTGGAATAAATTATAATAGTTAGCTGTTTGGTGTATTATGGTTGTAGGCTGCCAGGAAGGGGAAAGGACTTGTGCGATTTTCTGTCTCAGGATGCTCAAGGACACTGTGCACTTTGACAAGAGGAGGAGCATTTGCTGCTTGGCTCAATGAAGGTGTTAAAATACCTTGGAGAAGCCATTGTCAAACCCCAGATCTTCCATTTTCCTCTGCTGCGTATGAGGTTCACTAGTAAACCCATTTTCCTTCTGGGACCTAAAGTTGCTAATCCATTAAACAATTATTTGTTGTTGTTAACTGCCTTCGAGTGGATGAGACATCTCCAAGACTCCTTAACCTCCATTGCTCTGCTTGGGTCCTGCACATTCGTATCCGCAACCTCCCTAATAGAGTCTATCCATCTAGTGTGTGGTCTCACCAAGAAAACCCTAGGATGAGACAATCCTAAGCAAAACAAAAGGCACGACTAGAAGTACAAGCTGGGCCATAGAAAGACGTAACGGGGAAATCACAATAGACAGGTAAGCCAAGGAAAATTTGGCATAGGAAGATGGGAAGACAAGCAGCAGACGTGGTCAACAATGCAAACACTGTCCAAAGCAGCACTACATATATTATAGAAATGTGGAATATGAGAAGCATAAGTCAGGGGAAGCTAGATATGGTAAAAAAAAAAAAAAGGAAATGGGTATGAACATCTCAATACTAGGGATTGTTGGTAGCCACCCTTGAGTCGGTTCTGACTCATGGCAGCCCTGTGGATGAGACATCTCCAAGAATCCCTATCTTCCACTGCCTTGCCCAGATCCTGCAAGCCCTTCCCCATAACCCCCTAATTGAGTCTATCCATCTGGTTGGTGGTCTTCCTCTCTTTCTTCTACCCTCTACCTTTCCTAGCATTATTGTTTTTTCTAGTGGTCCATGTCTTCTCATTATGTGGCCAAAGTACAATAGTCTCAACGTGATCATCTTTGCTTCCAAGGAGAGCCCTGGTCTGATTTGTTCAAGAACCCATTTATTTGTCTTCTTGGCTGTTCGTGGTATCCTAAGTGCTCTTCTCCAGCCCCACTTTTCAAATGAGTTAATTTTCTTTCTATCTGCTTCCTTCACTGTCCAGTTCTCACATCCGTACATGGTAATTGGAAATACAATGGCCTGAACAATTCTGATTTTAGTGCTCAGTTGTATATCTTTTGCTCTTCAGTATCTTTTCCAGTTCTTTCATAGCTGCCCTTCC